CTCTAATTGCTTTGACTAAAAATAACATGAGAATTTGCCATAGATAATAACGCCTCTTTCACTGCATTTTTGTGAATACAAAGGTGGGCATTTTTGTGCTTTGAATTCGCTCAACTTTCAGGCCATTAGTTGATTTGATTTGAAGCTGTTTGTGTCTCCCTCCTCCCAAGAGTATGAATGGTGCTCAGTGCTCAGCTGATATGTAGCCTTAATAGCTTTGCCTTATTTTATACTTCATTTATAGACATAATACAGTGAATTAAAGGCTGGCTTCAGTTTGCTAATCACACCCAGTCACATGCTTTTAATAAAAAATGGACCGAATTGCAGTTAGGAATCAGTCACACGAAGAAATGGATACATCTGCTTTAATTTAATCACTGGGACATAATAGAAGTGTGATTCACATTAAATTGCTCACTAGTCATTTTTAAATACTATTAGCAATTGATCTACAAAAGGAAACAATGAATGCTGTTTAGATGTGTTTCTTTTTAAGATAAAACTGCATATGAACGGATAAATCCTGTGTTTAATCCTCTCATTCCTTTCCCTTTGTTAATCAGTGTCTCCTTGTTCTGGCCTCCCTGACTTATGATGCTACCTATCATTAAGCCAAACCAGAAATACAGGTCTGAGATAATCCGTACCAGCTTAGTTGCTTTGCAATGTGTCCATTATGCTGTATTTGTATAGTTATCTCTTCCCATCTCACAAAGAAAACACTGAAAGGAATATGATGCGTGGCTTTCACGCGGCTGGCATTAGTATGAGGAGTAAAACAGAAAGGAAAAGTTACGTGTGCTGATCGATAAAAAACATGGGACATGTACATGCAAGGGACAAATTAAAGCAATAATAACCAAACTTAGTAAGGTGCTGGGTCACAATGTTTCCGAGTCTCTGGGAATCAACTGGAGGGATGAACACCATTCATCCAAAACGGATTCCCTCATTTGGTGTTTTGATGATAGTGGTGGTGGGGAGAGCCGTTTAACACACCAGTGCAAAAGCTCCTGCAGGTGCTTGACCTCCCCCCTTTGTGGACTGCTTTACACTTTATAGTTTCTCACCTGACTTCTAAAGCCTTGAGTGGCAGAAAGCAAACTTCTCCCCTTCATACAACATCTGTCTTTAAGATTGCTCTTCTGTAATGTTTGAAGGAGCGTCACGGTCATCAGTTGTGTACCATCCACCATGATTTCCAGTGGATCTAAATGCAGATGTGCTTTAAGTCAATGAAGCAAATAACAGTTGAGCGTTGTGACTGAAGCTTCTGCCCCTTCTTTCAAAGGGATCTTTTCCTCCTTCCATTGTGGTAGAAAATGAGAATCCACTGGGCCTGCTCAGCATTTATCTACATGCCACGGAGCATGAGTGGATGTTAATTGCTTAATTGTACCATGCAGTGCACCTGTGTGGAAACATCTGCACTGGCTGTGTCTCTCCACTCATTTATTCAGGGTTTTTCTTTTAGATAGCCTCATTTATTATTGCAGATGTTTTGCTTTGCACAGGATGACTAAATTAGTCAGATATTGTGATTGGAGTGCCTTTGTTTATCCGTGATGCAGTCCATGTTCAGTACAAGAAAAAAGAAACACTGTGGCAGACATGAGGCAAAAAAATAAATCACTCAAAACTCTGGAACAGTGAAAGATTTTTAAAATCTTCCTTTCAAAATCAGTCATCACAAATAAGGGACAGTTGTATGAATAGGATAGACCATAAAATAATTAACAATAACCCATGACTAGACTCTTATCTACGCACATAAAAAGCGTTTTCTTATCAGCGAGACCATTAAATGTTGCTGTGGCTAATGGTCACTTATCCAAACAGAACAGAGATCTTACGCTTTTTATTTACATGAATTGTTCCAAGTGTTGATGCCAAATTGTTGTCAAGGTGTAATGTGCTAATGTAATTTAGCTTTAAAAGAAAAAAAAAAGATCTTTCTAAAAAAAAGATCTTTCGCACAAGTCTACAAGCCGTGAACATTACCAGTCAGTTGATTTTGTGCTGTGCTCTTCTCAAACTCCGCATTTCAACACACAGCATCTCCATGAGGATTTGACTGAAGCTTCACTTGGCTCTGGATTACTTTGAAGCAGCAGGGGGTGCACAGTGTAAGTCGGAACAAGTAACAGTCAGAGTTATCAAACTGCCTACAAATGATCGTGTTCCTGCTACAGAGGTTCATGCATGTTTGCCATGAATGACACGAGTTCGGTGGGGGTTTGTCTCCTTTTCTAACTTGCCTTTTTATTACTCTGTGGTTAAAATTAGAGGGGAGGAAAAACAGCTCAAATTGCTCATGACACGAACAACAGGAGGAACATGTTGTGATTTGGAAATTTAACGTCTAAAAAGCCTCATCGGTACTTCTGGTTAAAGTTTAAATGTATAGAAATAGGCACAGATTCTGTGTCACTGCCATTATACAACTAGAGCCAGAGCCACGGGCTAAAAGCAGCCTTTCTGTCCTTTAGCTTTCCCACTTTTCTCTGTTTATGTCCCTTTTCCTCCTGCTCATTGACTCTGCCTGTAAGGTGCTTTTAGCGGGCCTTGTGTGGCCGGGTTAGAGATGGATGTGTGGCCCTTGGGAGCCGCAGGCAGAGTGCAACACTGATCATGTCAGACAGGCTGGGGAGGCTGCATAAGATCATCATCACCCAGCAGTGGAGTGAATCGCCGCAGTGGCACTTTCACACAACCTCTGACCTCCGGTGCAACCTCTGAGGTCATGATCAAGGTCAGGGGTCAGCGAGGGCCTCAGCGATCGTGGCGTCCGCAGGCCCCGCCTGGCTCTTCTTCTCCTTGTTTGTGTTCTCTCCTTCATTTTTCTCCTCTCACTTTTCTCTTCCCCTCATCTTCTATCTGTTTTTTTTTCGCTCACGCTCTCTGTTCGCCCCGGCGGGACCAATTGAGACATCCAATCCCCTGGGAGTGTGAAAAGGAGAGCAAGAGAAAATCAATAGGGAAGATGAGTGAAGACCTGGAGGTCCCATCAAAAACTGAATGCTTGTCTGTGTGCTGGCATGATTCACACATCCACAAAAACACATACAGATACACAGCGGTATTGCTTTTGAGAGACAGGAAGGCAGCAGTAAACAGCAGTCTGGAAATCGTAGCAAACAACTGGATGGGTCTGCAAAACATCCAGTTTGATGGCTTCCCAGGTCAAAACAGAGTGACATGAAGAGCTCTTCTGTCTGTTTTGTGTGTGTGTGTTTTTCTGTCCTTTTATCTAGATTGCATACATGTGCCCACAAGTCTGTTGTTGGAGAGATGTTTGAACCAAGAAAGACGCAATATCGATCTCTCTAGAGAGATTCAAGGTCTGCAACAACAAGTGAAAGAGCACGATGTCACATAAGTTCTCTTCCAGCAGGCGAGACGACACAAACATAAATGCCAGGCTTTGTGTGTATCATCGTGGCTGTAATCTGAGCTGTGCAAAATGTCACCATATCACCAATCAGCTCGACTTTAATTATAGTACATTTACAAACACATTTGCATGGCTTTGTGCTGCATAAAAGGCTTAAAATAAATAAAACTGAACCAATAAAAGGAAAAAGCAAACGCATCCCTACGTGTCATTTCCTGCACTCAAGAGCCTCTGCTATTTTGGAGAAGAAGCACACATGTTTATAATGTTAAACCTCACTACTTGTCTACATAACTTATGTCTGGGTAGATTTCTTCCCAACACAAGATAACCCCAGGCAGGACATTAAATGATTGGCTGAAAATAGAACTGTTCAGATGAAAGGGAGAATAAATAATGCACAGAGAATACAAAACCTCTTGTGGGGATAACTAGTCGTGCATGCACATGCAAACATTTCTTCCATGGTGAAGAAAAGTGAATGGATGTAACAGGAAGGAGGAGGACCCAGCGGAGACACACATGCTTCTTGCTTCATCTCCTCCCACTCCTCGTCTGCCATTTTTTTCCGCTCACATTCAGACTTCATGACATACTCTGTGTCTGTGGGGAGGAATAACATCGTCCCAGTCACGGCGTGTTTTTCCTGCCCACCAGAGCTCAGACACAACACACAGTGCACGGTTTCCATCCCTGCTGCCTCATCATTTTTTATGAGTTTTGATCAGAATGGATTCATATGATGACAACAGCTGATCCCTTTACAGGGAGAGTAATACGCCATTGTGTTAACAACTTTTTTTTTAAAATTTGAAATCACCAAATGAAAACAGTGAGTCACGTCGTAGTTAGAGGGTGTTGCAATGTTGGGTTATATCTAATAAATAAAACATTCAAGACAAACCTTTTCAAAGCACCGCTGCTGCATGACTAATTTGCAGCTGGGATGTTTATTCATTGGCGAAATTAGACATGCACGTTTTGAGGAAGATCCTTAATGTCACTACACACACAGCAAACGGCACAGGACGGCGCACGGGCAAGCTTTGCGCTTGTGTAGGGAGACACCAAGTGGTCAGTGACAAGTGTAGCGTCTCACAAGAGGCCGTGTCAAGTTTTCAGGGGCCAAAGAACTGCTGCTGACAAGAGCTCCCGTCTGTCATCCTTTAAAATGCCAGGGATTGTTTACACGACTTAATAATCATAAACAGTAGTTCAGGGGTTAGAGCCACGCAATAGTGTTCAGTGTTACACTTTCTGCACGCTCGATTTAAACCTCAGTCTTACCTTGTTTGGATTATACTCGCAAACTGACTCACGAGCCGATTTCTAAAGGGCCTTCTAATTAAAAAACATTTGCTTGTTCTATGAGCGGATCGCCGCGCCCTGGGTCAAGATGTTTACGCTAAAAGTGCCCGAAAAGTCCTCCGACAGTCAACAGGCCTCACAAAGGCCCCATTCAGCTGTAACTGGAAACTACGCTGCCACGTCAAGTATATCCTGCAGCACAGGGACAAACTTTTGCTTTTACTTTACATGAGCCATGACGGTAGTTTGAAGTTTCTCGACGAGTCGGACAGGTGAGACAACAATGAGGCAACAATAGAAGGAGTATTTTTGGAGCTGTGGAACGCCATTAGCTTTATTGGCTTAACTGTACCTTGCTCTCTTTATCGCACCTGAAACTACAATGACTTTAAAAGTAGAGCACACTGGGTGTGACTGCACGACTGTAATGGACTCCGGTGTTTAACCTACTTTCCCCGAAAAGCCTCAAATGGCTGTGCGGATGTCTCAAAGACGAAAACTGATATTACAGCAGTTTTGGGGGAATCCGCAGGGTGAAGGGCGTCGATGGGAATTGGGGATCTCTGGAGACCAGAGGGCCGCCCCTCAATTGCAGCTCACGGAGCAGACAGACGCTCAGGGTTATTCCGGCGGAAAAACCGCTGCGTGTGTGTTCTCACAGGGGTCTGCTCCTCTGTGTGCGTGGCCACCGTGGTTTTCCTGTTACTCGTGGGAGTCTGCCTGCTCTACCTGCCGGATGCATTAGCGCCTGACCCGCTGGTTTCTCTCAGCCCGGTGACGCTGCTGATTTGGACGCATCCATTCGGTCAGTATCGAGAACTTCCGGACTGCCTCGAGCTGTTTCAGATAGACGGCTGCACGCTCACGGACGACGAGCTCAGGTACCCACAGGCTGACGCCGTGATAATTCACCACCGGGAGATTGCCACTGGCTACGCCGATCTCCCACCAGAACCGCGGCCACCTGCGCAAAAGTGGATATGGATGAACTTCGAGTCTCCCACGCACACGCGTGGACTCTGGCGTTTAGGGGGTGTTTTTAACCTCACGATGAGCTACCGGACAGACTCGGACATTTTCCTCCCCTATGGGTATCTGGTCCCCCTCGCGCGCACAGAGAGGGCTCTCCAGAAGAGCTTTGCGCTGCCGCTTCGTGGATCTTACAGCTCCAAACTCCTGCGGTCACGCTTCGTGGCCTGGGTCATCAGCAACTGGTCGGAGTCCCAGGCGCGCGTGACCTTCTACTACCAGCTGCGCCAATACATCCAGATCGATGTGTTCGGGCGCGCGGGCTCGCCGTTACCGACAGGCAGCGTGGTGCCGCTCGCCAAGCGGTACCTGTTCTACCTGGCGCTGGAGAACTCCCAGCACACCGACTACATCACGGAGAAGCTGTGGAACGCCGTGCTGGCCGGTGCAGTCCCCGTGGTGCTGGGTCCGTCCAGGCAGAACTATGAGCGTTTCCTGCCCCCCGAGGCCTTCATCCATGTGGACGACTTCCCCTCAGTGGAAGAGCTGGCCCAATACCTGCTGATGCTGAGGCGGAGCCCAGCTCAGATGAGACGGCACCTGGACTGGAGGAGGGGCTACGGCGTACGCCAGCCGACCTTCTTCAACGAGCACTTCTGCACGGCCTGCAGGGCGGTCAGGAAGACCAGAGGCAGGACTAATGTAGTCACAGACCTGACACGTTGGTTCCACTCGTGAAAACATGCATCAGACCTCCAGCACCTGTTTGAAATGACGGCAAAGCCGAGAGATAAGACCGTGAGAGGGGAAAGATTTACTAACCACATGCTGCTTCCAGAGTTTACATATCAAATCTTTTTATCATCAGTGAAAGGGTATATTTAATTAAGGTGATTTATTAAATAGTGTAATAACTTAAATACATTTATGATCATTGATCTTATCTGAGTGAATTCTTATAGAAGTTATTTTTTATCTTAATTAATTAATTTATTTTAACTGACTCCCATCTAGCCAGTAAGAGTCCTTCTGATAAAACAGTTGGAGTAGAGTTAACCTTCTGCACCAGGGCTTAACAACACAACATCTGTAATTTAGACCAGCGGTGTCAAACATAGGGCCTGGGGGCCAGAATCGGCCTGCAAAGACTCCAATACGCTCATCTGGACACCTTTAGAAAATCTGAAGGAGTGCATAGTATTTGAACTTATAATTGTATTTTCATAAGTTTTACAGCTTTTCCAATTGATAAAGTGCTTTTAAAAAAAAAAGTGAATTCATAAAAATGTTATATTTTGTAATTACAGGAGAGTCAGTGCAATAAACAACCAGAACTTTTTATGTAATGTAGTTTCACTGTTCTGGCTCACTTAAGATTAAATCGGGTTGTATGTGGCCCACAGTGTAAAATTAATTTGACTTGGCTGCTTGGCAAAATTAAAGTGTGTGACAAAGAAGAAAGACCACAGTCTTCAGATAATATTATTTTATTTTTATTTTTTTAAAGTGACCAAATGTTCATGTGTGACTGTGACTATATATTAAAAATATCTGAGTGCCTGCTAATTTTGTTCAGGTTTCACACCTCTGTGAAGCAGCTTTTACCTGATAGTGAAATGGGAAAAGAAAACATGAGGAAGAACAAACAAATATGCTGGTGCAGGAAATAAGCTTTCCAAGAAAGGGCACACATGTTTACCTGCAACTTCCTCAAGGTGACTCAGAAAGAATGCCACATGTCCCCACCACAGCCTGCTCTTTGTGTCTGCACATCACTAATCACTTTATTGCAGCGCTGTTCCTGCTCTGAGTCATTTTTAAAGGTGTCATTAGACCCCAAACCTAATACTGTTCAAACCTGAGGCGCTGGGGTTTTGCATTTTTCATTTAAGATTGCATAATAAGCACACGCGCACGCTCGTTTTGCTGATATTTTTACTATCTTTTATATATTGTTGTGGCTTCGGCTGTGGCAGTAATGCAGAAAACGAGAAAAAAAACAAGGGAGGAGGTGAACACATGTGCATCAGCAGTCACTTGATAGGACTGCTGATGATGTGATGCAGATCATTTAAATTTACACCTCTGCATTGGGGCCGTGGCACAGAATTAACACTTCGCACTGTCAAATGAGACATTTCCTACAGGCGGCAAATAATGTTGTTCCCCATAATGAGCTGATGCCTCAACAGCTGGTGAAACCACTCACGTCTATCAGCAATAATGGTTTCAGATGGCCAGAACAGCCAGAGCCCTTATCCCTGTCTTAATCCCATTCATGCGAGCATATCTGGTTACTGTTAGTACTGGTTACCATCTTTGCTTTCAAATATAGATCCATTAATCTATACCTCTCCACTGTGGACAGAACAGGTGCTAGACAGCTGACATATGGACACACAGAAAGCAGACTTCTCTTAATGTGCATTAAAAAGCGCATCTGATCACTGAGAAGACTACAAAAGGAGCTACACAGCGGTAACACCCTGAACAGGATATCTGACATGCTTACTATACATATTTCCCTGCAAACACTGTGATGCTTAGCAACTTTTATTTATGTGTCTCATGCTCGTTTAATTAAAATTTGTGATTGTGTTTACACAGTAATCAATATGACTGTCACGATGCTTCTTGTTAAGCATTAAATCTTACAAATTAAGAAAAAAATATATGAAGAAATACAATCAACTGCATGATCGTTTATAAACGATCTCCAATCTCTGTGATGTTTATGCTGACTGACACAGGTTGCCACCCAAGCTGTTTTCACTTAACCGAACCACAGCAGATCTGGTATCTCAGTGGGCATGTGTTACAGGCACCAACAAGAGGCTTAAAAAGAAGGAGACTTGAGTTCTGAGTAGAAACAGATCCAGGAGTTCAATGAGGTTAGAGTACAGATGCCAGTGTGTGTGTGTTTGTTTGTTTGTGCGTGTGTGTGTGCACGCTAATAGGGCTCACTCCCTTTTGCTCTGTGAAGCTGAACTGCCTCTTCTGGCAGTTTGCATCCTCTGCTAGCAGGCTTTCACAAATATGGACCAGAGCTTAGTCAATATCATACATAAGAGATGCCAAAGAGCTTCTTCTTTAACTCTATTTTTAAACAATTTCTTGAAATGCAGATGATAGAGGAAAATGTGAGTTTAAGTTAAAGAAAAAGTCTGTTATTAACTGTTGATCAGCTTGAATTAAAAGAAAAACATCAAATTTTATCACCTCTTTTTAAAAATCTATTTGTGTTTTCAAAATGTGTTTATATTTGCATTTACCGGTAGATGTTCTATATTTGTGAACCATATGCCCACAAAGTGGATACAAACCAAAGAATTTATTTCTTCCACATATAATAATAACTTAAAGCTAGTCAGATATTAATATTTTAAGTCATAGTCATTCATATTTAAAGATCACAGACTAGGTTGATTTTAAAAGTATCCTTAATGTTTTTTATGGGTTAAAAAAGTAGTTACCTGAATGCACTCACAGAAAGGATTCTGGTGTGTGCTGCAAAGTCCAGATTTGTTAGCATCAAAACATTACGTTTTAGCAGGGTGACACAAAAAGTATCATCTCAAGGTGAGTCAGTGCAGTGTGCATGGACGTCTTTGAAATGAACAGTCCCTGCTCGCAGCGTTACCTGTGTTTTGTCAGAAACTGACCCCGAGCAGACGATTCTCAGTGCCTTCGAGGTCTTTGACCCAGAAGGAGCAGTAGTTCCTCAGGATGGGCGGAAAAGAGCGACTGTGAGATATTATTCACAGTTTTTACAGCAGAGACTCGGTGACCCTTCGCAGGAATTCATCACACAGATAACAACGAATTAGACCAATAAAGGAGGCGTTTCATGATGATGCAAAGCTCAGCCGAATGTAAAGTCAGAGAGATTGAAACAGTGATTCTTGTTCCTCGTTGCTCCCCTGCAGCACGAAATAACACCTCATGTCACGGGCTGACAAGTTTACAGAGGATGAGGTGAGTCGTTGCTTGGCAACAAGGTGAAATATCGGATGTATCAATATGAGATACAAGTGGTCGAGATACTTTTGAACAACTATAAAGTGAGCCTTGATGAATACTCGGAATAAAAGGCAATTTGATTATTTAAAGCCCTTAAATACCCGCTGCAGCTTATTACAAAGATCCTTCACAGCTCCTTCTTCAGTAACAGTGCCATTCATAACCTACATGGCCCCTGGCTAGAGACACAGTAATCTCATTTGTGCAGCAACAGATGTTTCTCTTAAAAACATCCGTTGACTGGGGAGTGAAAACTATGCCTCTCATTCTCTCGGGAGGGTTCAAAGAGACCAGTATAATCACTATGAAATTTGTCACATTTGTACTGGTTTAAAGAGATATGCAGACTTACTGCAGACTCGCTATGTTGTAAAACAGCAAAAGCTCTCCTTCTCTGTCCCTCTCACACAGCCTGCACATATTTTATAAGGAAGCTTTCATGTTCTGTTTATCAAAACACCGCGAAGGGGGGAGGTAAGGGGGCCAAGAAAATGCATATGAAACAACAAAACCCCTCGACAAATAAACAGCACAGTGTTCCCATGGCAGCGCGTTGCATTAATCTGAAGGCTGGTTTCCCATGGCTGTGTCTCACTGCCCCATAGACCTCCACTCTGTCTCACTGATGGCTCCTGTGATTGCAATCATCCATCTTACTGTCAAAAGCAAAAAAAAAAAAAAGAAGGGCAAGAAAGGGGAAATCGCACACACCATCTCGCTCTCGCTCCCTTGTGTCCAGCAAACAAGGCACCCCAATGTGAGCAGAGCCGACACATGGACCACAGGCCCTCTGCATTGTGTGTGTGCCCGGGCTTGTATGATTAACAGCGAGAACATGTGTGGGTGTGCATCTTTGGTTGTCTGTGCCTGCACTATACTGCATGATCAGTCACTGGAGTGTACACGGGGGGGAAGCGGTGGACATGTCTGATCTTGCAGCTGATCAAAAGCACCAGAGACTTGTTCCCTTGTGGTCGTGCGAGCGGGCCCTCATATCAACACGTCTCTGTTCAGTAGACAGGAAAAACAAGAGGAGAGAGACAGACAGACAGAGGAGGAGGAGGAGGGGTACTTGAAGAGAGAGACAGAAACAGGCAGGCATAGCAAAGATGAAAGGATGCATAAAGAGGCCAGAGTGGAGTATGACAATGATACATAACCGCACTTATCTCTCTGTTCTGATGAGCTAATTGAAAGGCAAAAGTCAGCTCTGTTTGTGTCTGTAGATTTAACAGCGTGCGTGATCCTTCGATGCAAACCTGACAGCAACTGTCTGTAAAACGCTAAATGTGGAGAAAGAAGAAAACTCTGATGTCTATAAACTTCCCCTCGGGATGCGGCTGGTTACCTTAACTACAAGACCTTGTGTTGTGTGATCACCCACAGAGAAGACAAAGAGCAGGAGCGAGAAGAAGAAGGGGAAAAAAAGGAGGACAAAGGGAGGAGGAAGATGAGGAGGTGGAGCTTCTGTGAAGCTTCTGCTTGTAAATTGTCTGGCCACGCTGTGAAGTTGTGGTGTGAGAATGTAATTATGTGCAATAAAGTGGTGATCCTATGAAATGAATCCCTTTGTTGTTTGCAACTTTAATCTCACTCCAGTATAACCAACGCAGAGACGTTTCTGCTGAGCCCAGCGTTTTGCAAACGGAACAACAAAGCCCACCTGAACATGATTTAGTGTAAAAGATAAAGAGACGTGCACAAACACACCAGAACAGATGTATTTAAAAGGTAGACTCAACACTCTAAAACATATGATTACTTATGACACCGAAGACAAACAGATCGGCCTATTGTCGTGATTAACGACTAGATCAAAACTTGGATCTTGTCGTAAACTCGCTTCCTTGCCAAAAGTCGTAGAATGAGATAAAACACATTCTCATGTCTGAACAATAATAGACTGTATATAAAGATGGACACAAGATAGTAGGTTTGATTGGTTTGTGAAGTCCCATTTTAAGGCCTTGACTCAAAGTTTGTATT